GTTTTGCTGGTTCTTGATTCACTTCTAGTTGCAATTCTGAATATTGGTTATTATAGGGCTCAGCGTAGTATAATGACTATTCTAGTTTTTGTGTTTCCTCTTATTTTCTGTAGATTTGTGATAATAAAGGGAAGGACATCTCCTAAAACTGCCTATAAGTGGAATTTCCTTTAATTTGACATTTTCAAAAAAATAAGAAAGGACAATATTTTGGAGGAATTTGTATGTATTAGAAAAGTAAAATAGAGAGGATCCTAAAAGCTGTCTGAATTTTCTAGGTGCAGGGAGTCTGGTGCAGAAAGAAAATTTGGTCACAGCATAGAAGGTTAATATTTTAATAGATATCCCTGAGTTTCAGAGTAATAGAATTGAATTCTAGTTCTTCAATAAAATGTACAAAAAGATTAGAATAAAAACTTGCCTTGTAGAATTTTCTGTGTAGATAAGATAACTAAAATGTGGCTTGTTTGGAGTCACGTAAAACTTTTTGACCATTGCACTTTTTAAAGATACTTGGTTATGAGAAATTTATATATTGGGGTATGTTGAATTAAGATGACTCTAATATATGGCATACATGGTAGTCTAGTTGATAAACCTATGCGTCCTTGAGCTTGCCTTTTAATTTTCCAACTGAAGAATAAGAAACCTTTAAACAGCTTAAGTGTCAGCACAGTGCAGCTGACAGGAATCTGATCTGCTGCTTGGCCCTTTTCCGTGGGTGCTGATATACTAATGGCATGTAACTCAGACCAGAGGTGCCCTTTGCACTGGTTCATCTGCAGCTGGGATAGTGGTGACTGGAGAAATTGGTGAATCTGCTATCTTGCAGTAAGTTATGACAGGCTATGGAAAAATGGCTGAAGCCTGGCTTTTGACTGACTAGGTTTGTGTGTGCTTGGTTTAAAACAAAACCCACACACAGAATTCCTCCATCATGCGCAAAGATGTTTGACCAGGATTATAGACATTTTTCAGCTGTCAGAACAGTGATTTGTTTTAGGGGGAAATGTTAACAAACACTGTAACTTGAGCTGCCTTGTGTAGGACATTTAATTAGTAAAAACAGTTATTAATCATATTCATGAATTTTGATATTCAGGAGTTTAATGTGGGAATGAATTCCTTTTTAAAGGATAGACAAGAATTTTGTATCTTATAAGCAACAGCAATGCTATGAGGTTCTCAAATAGAAAATAGTGGAAGTTTACATTTTTGGTAGTTAGTAATTACTGTAGATCCTAAACAGCTTCCTTTCTTTTTGAGGTGATGAGCACCAAGGTACTTGGGATGCCTTTTAGTGTTTCTTCCTTCTTTCAGTTTCATATGACAAGACAGAATGTTGTCCTTGTTTTTAAACCATAATACAATTATTGTTAAGCATCAGCCACCTGTTAGTATCATTCCTTCTAAAGGTCATTGTATGGTGCCTTACTGTCTGACTTTAACAGCTCTATATCAGGTTTGTTGGCCACTGTTTTGTATGGACAAATGCTTGAGAAAAGAACATGACACCAATAACTGAAAAGGAAAATAGTCTCCCTAATTACATATTTTGGCTTTGTAGTTATTTAATTAAATTAAGAGTTATCAACTTAAATTTCCTCATGTATTGCAATTTTGGAATTTCTAAAATGTCTTGAATGTATTGCACCCTGCTCTTACATTAGTTTCCTTCCTGTTTCAAATTCAGATCCTGTATGTAAATTGTTAATAGCATCTATCTGTGTTAATCCTTGATATAAAATCAGTTACTTGATTTTTAGTTTCTGCAAATAAGAACATGGCTATTTTCATTCATTATTAAAAAAAATAACAAAGCTAAATTTATTTCAAGACCAAAATGGGAGATATCCCACTTGAACTACATAAAAAATACAAGTATCATTAATAGTGAATTAAAGACTAAGGAGAAATGGAAAACATGTTGTTAACCTGATGTATTAGTTTTATGAATCCCACTTTAAAACCCATTCCTTTCTATGAAAATCTTTTAAGAATTTGATCTTTCATTAGTTTGAAAAAAGTCATGCTGTCCGAAACTATAGATAATCCTTGATTTACAATTATTTGTTTAGTGATCGTTCAAAGTTACAACAATACTGAAAATGTGACTTATGACCATTTTTCACATTTATGACAATTGCAGCATCCCCATTATCATGTGATGAAAATTTGGATGCTTGGCAACTGGCTCATATTACAGTGTCCTGGGCTCATGTGATCCCCTTTTGCGACCTTCTGAAAGCAAAATCAATGGGGAAGTCAGATTCACTTAACAACCATGTTGCTAATTTAACAATTGCAGTGATTCACTTAACTGTGGCAAGAAAGGTCGTATAATGGGGCAAAGCTGATTTAATAACTTGCTTAACAACAGAAATTTTGAGCTCAGTTATAGTTGTAAGTTGACTTATAGTGCAATTCTATACATGTTTGAAATTAAAGTAATTGAGTTCAGTGGGACTTAGTCTCAAGAAAGTCCTAATAAGACTGTAGCCTAATACAGATTTAATTGAATGATAGTAAAGTTGGATTCAGTAGTGATGCTAACATATATCGGACCACATTTTAATAAACCTTGCAGATTGGTATCATGATGAGTTAATAAATCATGCCTGCATACACACACACACACACACACACACACACACACACACACACACACACCCCTGATGATGGCAGATGAGATTCTGCCGAAACGTCACTATAACTTTAAAAGCACAACTATAAAGACATGGGAAAACACCTGAACAAAGCTAAATACCATACATATAAATACCTGTGAAAACATAAGGGGAAAAAAAAAAAACACCACACACACACACACACACACACACACACACACACGCACGCACGCACGCAAATATGTGTTTTCGTAGTTTTACATGGGTACAGGTATGCAGGTCTTGGCGTGTTCAGGTCTTTTCCCGTGTAAGATTGAGAGTATCCAGATCAATCTTACACAGGAAAAGACCCAAACATGCCAAGACCTGCATGTATGTATGTATGTATGTACTTTTATATTAACAAAAGATTCAGCAAAAAAATATCTGAGATGTTCTGTGCTTATTTTTCCAGGCTTGATTAAAATACTAGATTTAATTTTTTTAAAATCTGAACAACTTTTTATGATATAACCTCAAACCATTTGCCTTGTTCGATGTGGAGACCCTAGTTTGTTATGTTATCTAGTGAAGCTTTCCTTAGAAAACCAGAAAGCTTTTTATTTTGCAGTTTGCTTCTTGCTCCCTCCATTGTTTACTTGACATTATATTCTCACATTTTAGAAAATATGTGTGACAGTTGAGCAGCTGTAAACTTGGGCTTCTACAAGCTAAATATTACCCAAGAACTGATGATATTTTGGGTTTGCCCATGTGTACTGAACATCCATGTCTCCAGTTTTCTCTCATTGAAAATAACTGTAAAATGTGATCGCTCCAAAACATACGAAAATAATGTTTTGTTTTACTGTATGTTAGTTTTTATATTTAACCATTTTTCTTGCCTAACTGTGAGCTTCTCTCAGAGGAGCTTTAATATTTAGGCACTAGATGGGGCCAAAATAAATTTCAGAATTAGAAGTATGTCACTAACATTCAAAGAAATGATACCATGTAGCATGTCAATTCTTGATGGTCGTAGCTACATTTTCATTATGTTCCCCCTCTCCCCCGGATTCTGGTTCATTTAGCAAATGAGTTCTTGTGGCATTTCTTTTCAGTGTTCAGTTCTTTTGCTCTTGTCACTGTTGTATATAAGTAGTGGAATGGCTTGGAAACAATGTTTGAGGAAGATGCTTTCCTGCTAAAGTAGTTGAGATTCTTTGCAAATAAAGTAATAGGTCTAAATGACAAATTAAGGATTAAAAAATCAGCATGTCTTTTACAGTAATGGATTAATGGAGGAAGTATGCTTTAGTTGGATTTGTAATTAAAGTTTTTTATCAAGAAAATCAAGTTATTCCTGTTGAGTAACATCTATTTAAAGTAGGAAGATTGAAAGAATAGGAAAATGAAATAATTTTAATCTTATTTCTCTGACTGGAATTCAGATTAGTTTCCTGTTGTATAAAGTGCAAAGATTACGTTTGTTTGTTTGTCTAATCTTCAGCATATTCTAACTTTTATCAATTATAAACTGAATAAATAATTCCACTCCTCAGTACCCTGTTTCTCCAACAATATGGCCTCCCCCAATAGGAAGTCCCAGCATGTTTTATAGGCATGAAATGAAATTAAGCCCCTTCCCCCAAATTAAGGCCTATATTAAAATATGCAAAATGGGGGGGAATGGTGGTGGGGGCTTGCCATTAGGAACTACTTTTGTTGCACACCCGGATATGGTGCTGCCTGCTTTGACCCTGATATGAAGTGCCCCACCAACGCCGAGGTCAACATCCAAGCTGTCGCTGCCCGCCCACCCAAAGATGCAAGGGGGGGGGAATTAAGTCACCCCTGAAAAGACAGCCTAGCCATTTTTTCGGGGCTCAAAAAAAAAAAAGACCCAGCCTTATTATATGAGAAACATGGTATATACAGTACATGGAGTCATTGTAAAATATACATTGAAATCTATGGATATTTTGCATGGAGCTTAAATTGTTAGTTATTACTAGTGATCAAAGCAATAACAGAGGTTAAAAGTTCCCTACCAGAATAATTTTTCAACAGCTTTTCAAGAGTTCATCTTCAGTACTTTTTTTATTCATTCCACGAGTTCGATCACAATGTTGGTCATAGGGGTGTGTTTGTAATTCTATTCAGAGATCAAACCTTTCAAATAAATGATTTATTTCATCTCAACATAGTGGGTAATTCCTGGCTTTCCTAATTAGTCACAAAACATTATCCTCATCTTCTTATGGTGAAAGAATGGAATATTCCCAACATTGAGGATAAATGGGCTGACAAATGTAATCTTTACACTTTACACTACAGGAAACTACACTGAATTCCAGCCAGTTTATGGATTAGTTCTTTTCCCAAGATCCTCTAATCCATAGATCAATCTTCCCAATAAATTACTGGGAACCAACTAGTTGTTTGAATATTCCTAAGGAACTAATAGGAAATATATTTCTGTAAGGCAGATGTGCTTAACTTTTTTGTTTTGTGGAACTCTTTGCAAGTCTGGTGAAATCTGAACACCTTTAAGATATATTAAATGCATAAGATAAAATATATTGATAGAGTTTATAGTGCAAAGAAACAAATAGGTTCATAGATGTTACTTCTGAAATTTCTCAACAGACCCACAAAGGATACATAGACCATGGTAAGAACTCCAGCTTTAGGGAAATCTAAGATACTTCCTGACACCTTCCTACCAATACTTCTTTTTGCAACTTGGTACTCATCTGTTTATTTTAAGTATTATGACTTATGGTGTTATTTAGTTTGGGATAATGAAAAGTCTATAAGAGAAAAACCAAACTCAGAGAGCACCATTTCAACTCTGAGCTACAAATACTGTCCTTTATTGTGACTTGTTGAGCATAGGACAAATCTAGATAAACTTGGGGTGTGGTGTAACGTTTGAAAATAGAAATAAATTAACATTTATTTGTTTTTCTTTACATAGAACAAAAAAAGAAGCCTCTTGTTAATAAAACACTGCTTCTACTTGGTGCATGTCTTTACTCTTGTGTTAGATAACTGGAAAACACACTTTGTTCTGTGATAACTTCTGTAATAGAAGCTCTCCAATTCCTTTTCTTCTTGATTGATATTTTGGACATTTTTGGAAATTCAGGCTTTAGATATCCAGGTGAGACTGGATACCTTGAGGGAAAATGGAATGACTGATGAACAGTATTACATGGATGTTGTCATATGTTGGAAAGAAAGACTCACAGAGGGACTTTAGATCCAGTCTGCATGCAGCTCTATATATGGTGCAGCTGGGTTACTGCAAATGTAGGACGTGCTATGATGGAGTTCAAAGACCAGTCATTGTGCGGGGTGCAAAGATGTCTGACTGCCTGGGCAGCATTTATTACATTTTATAGGGTTTTTACAAGAAGACAAAGGCAACATAGATACAGCATTTGGATTGGTGAAAACCCTCAAACAATCCTTAAGAATAATGTGATGTTAGTAAGGTGAGATCATGTACAAGTCCAGGACTTTCCAACCCAAGATAGTAGGGAATAAGATCATGCAAAGAAGCCCCTGTATTAGACACAGCAGTTTGCTACTTGTGCCATCTATAGGATCTCTGTTGCTATTACATTTCACTCTTTTTTGTTTTGCTAGACAAAGCATAGTAATGTAGGAGAGGGTTTCAGCGGAAAAGCTGTGATACATATGTTGCAAAGAGAAGGGAGACATTGAACAAAGCAGCACCCACTAATTAAAGCGGCAATAATAATAACTAAATAGCGTAGAATATTTCCCATTAAATTTGTGGGTAACCAAGCCCAAAAGCTTTCCCACCAAGATCCTACATTATCAATTTTCAAATCCGAGGCCAAATTGTGTAAAATATTAAGCTGGTACTGGATGGTTCGTGACCCATCAAACAAATTAAAACAACATAGATTTTGTAGAATATCCTTCCTCAATGCTTGTATCTTGTGGTTGATTGTTGAGATAGCTGAAGAGGTAACATTAATTGTTTTTGCTAAATTACATGCAGCAGAGTTAATGCTAAGGTGAGTGCAAGCAGCAATTGCTAGCTCACCCACTATAGACACAGATAGCGCTACGTATTCTGCTTTATCAAGTAAGGTTGCTTCAGCGTCACATGCTATCTAGAGGGACCCCACATCGAGAACGATTCGATTGATGAATTTGTTGTTTAGAAAGCAAAACAGGAATCAGCCAGCTGAGGCAGCATTGCACTTCACTAATATTAGCAAGAATATAATTAAAAGTTTCTTGACTATATGTAAAAAAACATTCCTTGCGGTAGCCAAACATGGGCAAAGTTAAAGTCTCTTCCAAAGCTGTGCAGTTCAAAGTAGGTGAGCTGATGCGATGACAATGAGGTTTTTTTACTTGAATATGTACAATTAACTACTTTTACAAAGGTTATATTTGCAGGAATTGCTACCAGTGTGGTGTGCAAAGCAATAGCAAATCCCCAATTAGATGTAGTCCCATAGTTAAAGCTCCCATGTAATAAAAATGTACTTAAACCAGTGAAGTTTTGAATTACTGCAGGAGACTAAATTAAACTAAACTAAACATGTAGAAAGCAAATGTTCCATATCATAAGCTTCAGATAAACAAAAGACATCATTCTGTGTGATGTTAGCCAATTGCACCCATAAGGTTTTGTAATTCATTCGTTGCTCGAGCGAGTGTATGGATGGAATGACAGTTGCAGAGTCACATTTCTGGGACTGGATCTGACATCCTTGACTGGATGGATGCAATGAACCTATAGGAGCAAGCACAACAGCATAGCCCTGCCCCCAAGTAGTTAAATTTTAAATAGAAACATGCAATTGATAATAGTTATGGTAATAGTTATGCATTCTTCACATTCTTGTTGTAAGTCCCTCTTGATGGAGTCAAACTTTAGTGTCAATTCTCTGCTTTAAAGATGGATTAAGAACATGTACAGAGTGCAGCTAGTTTGAATTTTGATTCCCTGGCTGAGCTCCATTGTAAACAGGGAACTGAGCCATCTTCAAAGATAATTGTTCTAGGCGAACTGCCAACCTGGGAACTGAGCCACCTTTAAAGATAACATTCTAGTCTCAGCCTAGCACTAAGAAAAAATGGGATGAAATAGTATTTCTCCATCAATGACTACGTGAGCTATGTAGCCTATATAAAAAAATCACTTTCTAGCCCCGCCTTACTCAAAGCAAAGAGAAAAAAAATGTTATAGTGAGCAGAAAAGTCTTACCCCTCCCCATTCCTGCCTCTTGCTTTTTCAAGGAAAAAAGTCCGTGAGCAAGAGGAAAAAAAATAGCCAGTGAGGACGTGGTGTGTGTGTTTAAAATACTACACAAGAATCTCATCCATTTTTTTCCACTCCACAACATTCTTTCAACAAAATAAATCTCTCCAGTAAATCACACACAAATAACTTGCAACATCAGCAAAGCACACACAAATAATTCTCTCTTTCCAGTAAATCACATACATTTCTCCATGGGATCTTTCTCATGTCTGGACCACACAATTCCTTACTCTCCTTTTAATCTGGGATAGGGTTCGACACACAAACATTTATACCAACTTTTTACTATCAACATATTCACAAATTTGTACTGTAATCATACTGCTTGCATACTTACAATTCTTTTCTGGGAGCCAATGAGCTCCATTGTCTAAATAATTTTGTGTACTGTTATTAGAGGGTCTCATCCTCCAGTTCTGGAAATGATTACACACAGACACATTCTCACACACAACATTTCCAGACCTGGGGAGGTTTTGTTCCTTTAAATTTCCACATTTTTTTTCCTTTGGACAACCTGTAGTTTGTTCTCAGAGCAATGGGATAACTCAAGGAGTGGTTCCAATCACAAATGTGACTGTGGGCCCTAACCACTGCCTATCTGCTTCCCATAGCTCTAAGTGCAATCCAAAAAGCTAATTTACTTCTCTGGCTGCCAAAAATGTTACAATTGTTTTATTTTGAACTGCAGCAGCCCCAATTGTGTCTATACATAGGTAAAATATATTTTTCTTCAATTCAATCCTATTCAATTCTGCATACAAATTATTTTACATCATTATAAATACACGGCTAAGTTCTATTCTGCATGCAATTATTATATATTATTATACATATGCATCTAAGAAGTTTCAATGGAAAATCACATCATGAAAAGAACAATACAATAAACATTTTCTTCTTCTCTTAGTTATTTCTACCAAATATAACAGCATAAATTAACCATATCTTCTTTGATCAGCCCCATTGTACTGTATGGAGGGGCTCTATTTTAAACACGGATCTGTGTCTCGTTCCATGCTTCTGAACAGCAGAGCTAACTATGGACCATTGAAATCAATGGGGCATGCCTTCCACATCCAACTCTGCCATCCAGTACATCAGAAGAGAGCAGTTGCCTGCATTCTAGTTACACCCATTGTTCTATCTTCTTAAGCACTAAATAATTAAAAAAGATTAAACATAAAAATTTTAAACAAATAAATTTATGTGTCCTGGGTTTCTAGCTTGAATCTCCCCCCTTTTCTAATTGTTCATCTAATACTTGCCTTATGGGGGTGTACAATGGTCATGGAGAATCAAAAGATTTAGCCTCCTCAGAAGGAGCCGAAAGTCCAATTGGAAAAGATTTTGGGGTGACAATTTTTACCTGATCATAATCAGGAGGGGGCTTGTAGTCAATTATTGTTTTGCTGAGACATCAGAGCCAGATGTTTCCACTGCTTGACAGCATTGATACCATCAATGTAATATTTGGACTGGAGCCCTGGGTTCATGATGTAAAGTATGCCCTATCTATCCAATCCTTTAACCTGAGCATTTGCGTTCAGGATTCCCTACCTCCTCAACCAGCTTTTTTATAGCCTCAGGTACTTTTGCACATGATTCATGTAGCAGGAATCTAAGTTCCTGAACATGTTTCTGCTGGTGCTGAGATAGATTGCAACCCATACTTACCATTGAGGGGTCCCGTAGGATGAAGATGCGCACCTTAGGGGTCTATTCCAGACGATGGTAAACGTGTAGTTGCTGCCCCGTTGGGTTGATGCCCCCCCCCCAGTTGATGTCCCTGGTCGGACGCCATGTGATGGAGTTCAAAGACCAGTCATTGTGCAGAGTATAAAGATGTCTGAGTGCCTGGGCAGCGTTTATTACATTTTATAGGGTTTTTATAAGAAGACAAAGGCAACATAGATACAGCATTTGGATTGGTGAAAACCCTCAACCAATCCTTAAGAGTAATGGTGATGTTAGTAAGGTGAGATCATGTACAAGTCTGGGACTTTCCAACCCAAGATAGTAGGGAATGAGATCATGCAAAGAGGCCCCTGTATTAGACACAGTAGTTTGCTGCTTGTCCCATCTACAGGATCTCAATTGCTACTACAATGCTATATATAAGGGAGCTTGATCCTGTCTCAGAGGATTCCTTGGTATCCGGGCCCCAGGGGATCATAAAGTAAGCACAGTTGGCCTTTGCTGAGCAGCTCTCAAGATAGCATAATTGATGGACCTTTCTCTTTTACTTAAAGTTAATCAATTTTTATCTAATTCTAATTTATCTAATTTCACTATAAGCACATAATATTGGAAACTTCAGTGGAGTTATGTTCTCTATAATATATTAATTTATCTGTGATAGAAGAGTATGATGGACACTGGCTAAAACTGTAATGTAAGAAGCCTTAGTAACAAGTTTTTTCCGAATTCACAAGTGTTCCATGGATAGCTTTATATGCAAGTATTGAACAATAGACATATGTAACATTTTAAGACTTTTGTTTTCAGACTATAAACTAAAAACTTTAGTGTGATCTATGAAAAAAAGGCTATGTACACAGTAAACTATATATGACAGATTACAGAATATTAAAATAGGTTCTTGATTAGTTTTTAATTCCCCCTTTTCATTCAAAAATCCTCATATAATTTTTTCCATATTAATAACCCCTGTCCCTTCACTCTTTCTGACTAATTTATGTTCACTTGGATAAAATACTTCTTTTAACTAGATGCAATTCTGATTTGTACAACTCAGCAGTTCTCTGCTTCACTGAAACCTGGCTAAATGAGTCAATTGATGATAGTAGTCTACTTATCCCAGGATTTCAATTACAAAGAGCAGACAGAATAGAAGAAACATCTGATAAAAAGAAGGAAGGAGACTTATGTTTATGTATTAACAGCTGCTGGTCCAAAGATATAACTATACTAAAGAAATTCTGTGATGTGGACTTAGAGACATTAATTATCAATTGCAAACCATTCTATTCTTCCATTCTTCTATCCTCATTTCTCCTAATTGCTGTGTATATTCCTCCACAAGCTTGTGTAAACAATGCATTATGAACTCTAGCTGACCAGATTATGTGAGCTGAAGTTAAATACCCAGATGCATTTCAAATTATTTTAGGAGATTTTAATAAAGCAAACTTAAGGAAAGAGCTACTGAAATATTTTCAGCATGTCAATTGTCTTACTAGAGGCAAGAATACTTTAGACAAGCAGCTGTAGGACACTCTGATCATTGTATGATTCACCTTGTACCTGCTTAGAGACAAAGACTTAAAATCATGAAACCAACAATTAAATCAGTGAAGACTTGGACCGAGGAGGCAAAGCTAAAGCTACAGGCTTGTCTTGACTGCACTGATTGGAATGTGTTTGAAGATACCTCTGCAGACTTAGATGAACTCACAGATACTGTAACCTCATATGCCAGTTTTTGTGAAGACCTATGTGTGTTGACCAGAAACCTGAGAATATACAGTAACAATAAACCTTGGTTCACAGCTAAACTTAAGCAGCTATGTCGTACTAAAGAGGAAGCCTACAGAAAAGGTGATTGAATATTGTACAATCAGGCCAGAAACGTATTAACAAGGGAGATCAGATCAGCAAAAAGAAGTTACTCTGAAAACCTAAGGAATCAGTTCTTAACAAATGAACCAGCAAACATGTGGAAAACTTTAAAATATCACCGGTTACAGCAAACCTCCTTCCTATGCTGAAGGAAATCAACAACTGGCAGATGACCTGAATGTGTTTTATTGTAGGTTGTTGAGGTATTAAGTTTTAAAGAGCTGTCCAGCAGCAGTAATAGCTGCCAGATGCTGTAAATCTGATGCAATGTTAAGCTGGTGAAATGAAGGTGATTTGGCATAGCATGGGTATTTCCCTTTAAGACTGGGAATGGGTTCTATCCCTTTAAGAGGTGTATATCTAAGGCAGCCATTATAGAGGGCGTGT